ACCGTATTTTGACATCTGACAAATTGGATCGTCATCAGTTTTTCCCCTCTCGTGTCAGGAAGTAATACAGAGAGTGACGGCTGGAGTCGGGAGGTATGAAATAAAAAAAAAATAATAATAAAAAATAAATGAAAAATAATCGAAGAAATGAAAATAACGTAGAGGCCCGAGTAGCCCGGAAATAGGCAACTCGACAGAGAGCGGATTATCGGTAGAAATTGAGTTTGTCGATCGTTCGATCCATCGATTCCCACCCATTTCCCCACCTCTCTTGCTCGCGGTTAGCTTCAGCATGTGTATTTTGCTTCAGTGAACTTTCTGACTGCGATGTGGACACGTTGCGACACCGGAAACCGACTACTTAATGCTTAAACCCCCGTGCCGACGCGTCTGGAATAGTAATTCGGTAGCGTCCGAGATTTTTTATCATTCAGAAATTCTGTAGACCTTTTTTCCCCTCGTAAATCTACTCTTCCATTCCTTGAAATTTCCCCCACAAAGTCATCTGAATTTTCAATTACCCGCCATTTAATTCAACATCAATTAAAACCCCCACTAAATGTCTCATTTACCTCAATAATTCACGAAAATTGGATTTTCCATGCTAAATGGCCATCGGCAATTGATTTTTCCTTGGGAAATTCAGGGTCGCCTGAATATTCTACTTTCCATTTATCTTAAATTCGATTTTTGAAAATGTCAAGTGTAATATTCACCCAGTGTAACAAAAAAACAGATAAATAATTTTCACACGTGTAGATGATTTCTAGGATTTGAGGTTCCAGTGAAAAATAACAGGAGTCACGTTTCCATGGAATTAACTACAATATTCATGACAACAACGACTTGATGGCCACTTATCCGCTGATAAACGTGCGAAGACTCAAAAATGAAAAAAAAATAAAAATAATAATATATTTTTTCTATTTCACGCGGTTGATTCCCCGTTTATGTTTCGCTTGTAATAGCCCGTGGAACTTCCTCAAGGCCCTCTAACGAAGCTAATTGGGTGTAACGACTCTGTCGTTGGTTGCTTGCACATAGACTTGCCAGTATTTCAGTATAAAACGTCTGTCTTCCTTTCATCGGACCAAAATCCCTGTTGTTTATTCACAAAATGAGAGGAGGAAAGGGGAATTGAATATGTATGTGTGATGAGTGCGCCATATCTCAGCTCTGGATGAGAAGGTTTGAGAATAGCCTTGCCTTTGTACCAGAAAACCCGTCTCCTTTCATTCTTGGCCACATCTGGGTCACAGATCCTCATCTCTTATCCCTTTTCATGCAACCGAGGTATTATAAATTTTTCCATTTTTTTTGGAGAAGCCATTAAGATGTCTTCAAATATTAATTTGAGGATTAAAAAGTTGTTTTGTCGAAATAAAACAGTCGGCAAGGGATTCCTCTGGCTATTGTTTATGCGGTTGATTATTCATAATTTTACTTTGGCTGAGTGCAATATTACAAATTTACCGCCATTTTAAAGGATTTTGCATTAACTTTGAAAGTGTTGAAATTCACGCGAATCGCATCGTTTTTTATTGCAGAAAACTCGGGTTTTGTTCGGATATTTCTTCCATTTGCGCGGGATTTTTTCAATCATTCACAATTTAATAACGGCCGAGTGAAATTTCGAAAATTTTGAGTCAATTCGAAGGGCTTTCTATGAAATTTGAGAATCTCCAAATTGACTCAAATCGCATCATTTTTTATTGGAGCAACCCGGAACGCAGTGTTCGCGCGTAAAAGTTCCGTCGCTTTGCGCAGGAATTTTCAATCATCCTCACTTAATTATGGCTTAATTATGGCTGAGTGAAATTTACCAAATTTTGAGTCATTTCGAAGGATTTTTCAGAACCTTAAATAAATCTCCAATTTTCTCGGAATCGCATCGTCCCATCCCGCAATTTAAATTTCCAAAATACGATAAATTAAGAATCCGCGCCTATCCCATCATTTTTCCGTTCAAAATTCCAGAAAAAAAACTATCCTATATCCGAATCCACAACTCAAAATGGAATTCAAGGCACGTAATGCACATGCTTTTCCGTAATCCCAATCGAAAGTTGAAACAGAAAATAAAATTGAAGCTCACAAACCAGTGTTTGGCCGTTGGGTTATAGGATAAGTCTCGAAGCATTGAAGATGCAATCGGTATATTCGCAGAGAGGACCCCAATGAATTATTCAGACGATCTACGGCCAGTCGTTTACCGATGCCTGGGAGTACGCCAAAGGTAACCCGTTGAATCCTAGGTTCAAGAGAAGGAAAAATCACCCAAGAAAAGGACCAACAGACGCGAGGTTTTTTTTTTTTTAATGCATTCGTTATGCATCCAAGTTTCTCCTCCCACCCACCTACAACCATGAAATAGTAATTCAAGGGGTAGAAGTCTCATTCGCTCCCGAGTGTCTCGTAGAGTCGATTTATTTTATCGAATGGCGAGAGATAACATTAAACATTTATTTAACGCGGATAAATTCGACTGGGTGGGTGGACTGGGGGTTTTCAGGAGTAAAAAATGGATTTTATTTTCGATGAATTTGAAAAAATGGCGGAATACGAATTTATAAATTCGTTGTGCTTTCAGATTTATAAATTACTGATTAAATGATAATGTTTCGTTCATTTTCGTAGCATCGGAGATTTTTTCCGACCGTTTGACCCCACAAAATACTTGTTGATACTAATGATATCTATAATGATCCCGTGTTTACCACAGATTTATTAGAGAAAAATAGATTCACTGGGTTTTGATGCTCTAGTCTCAATAATCCGAGAATGATGGGAATTTAATTACGCCATTTTTTATTTCCTCGAGGTATGGGGGGTAATGATTATTATTGCTGGAATATGGGAGGGTCCTGGGTGTGCCCTGGGGCCCTCATTCCTCAACTGGTTTTCGAGAGTTTCAAATGATTTGGCGAAAATTACTCGGAATTAACTAGGATCATTTAATTATCGCCATTTTTACTCTAATAAATTATGGAGAATTTATGAATAAATGAAAATTTTCATTATCCATTTATTCTCTATATCACAATTCCACGAATTTTTGAGAATTTTTGAAAATTTCAATGTTAATGCGGCAATTGCAAAACGAATTTAATTTTCTAAAATAAAAAATGCCCTTGACCTTGAAACTTTCTAGATATATTTAAAAAAACATCGAAATGATAACCCCAAAATTTTTCACCGAAGTCGCTATTTTTCAAATGCTCAAAGGAATGAAAAAGAAAGGATATTTGATTAACGGTTCGCCTTCATGACGAACGATTTAATTCGCAGGTCTGGGATTATAATAACAGCCTCTCTGGGGCACTGAGAAGAGGCTGAAGAAAAGTGGTGGATTTAAGAGGTAAGGGAGCGGTTTGAAGGTCGACATGAGGATGGAATGAGTTGGGAATTCGTGCGAGTTACAAAACCTGCCAGCGGTAGATGGATGAGAGCGAAATCTCGTCTCTCTCCTCAAATCCTCCCACGAGGCCAAAAAGAGAGAAATAAAAATTCCCTCAACACCAGAAGACACTCAAACCAACATCTCCTACACTTTTCTCAAAAGGGGAAAAAGAATTAGCCCAGTGTAATACACGAGGACTATTTCAATTCAATATCTTAATTGAATAAAAAGATGAGAATTAGAGAGAGAATTATTTTGTGGATAAATGCTATTTATTTATTCCTCTCCTCGGAGTAATTTATCGGGGGTAAATGAGAATTTGTTGTGGAGGGACACCATAAAAGGTACATTCCCTCACTACCAACCCCTTCAGCTGTTCCATTTACTCACTTATACCTGTGGGAGGGACTCATACCGTAAGCTTTCATAAAATTTATCGCTTCAAACCACCAGGGAAAACGTACCCACTAAATTTTGAATATTAGATTCACGTTTTGATACATTAAATTATCTCTCACAATGTCGAGACTATTATCCAACAATTAACAACAGGGAAATATACAGAGCGAAAGTTTATGAAGTTATTCCCCAAGTTAATTAATCTTCCGTGAGGGATAAAATTTTCTGAACTCATTAGAAATATTTTGTTAATTATCCCAGTACTGATTCATTGTAAAAAAAATATTTTTAGAACATTTCCCACCAAAAAAAAAATGAATAATTCGCTCATCGATATTACCATTAATTACTGATAATTTAAGTGAGTGAAAATGGATAAATGATAGAATAATATCGGCAAAATGCACATCGTAATATCCAATTTCGATGCATTTCGAAATGCTATATCGAAACATTTTGCCAGTGTCAATCGTACGTATGTATAACTTGAAAGGGAGGGTATGTACGAGCTTATCGTAGTTTCCACTTGGGGGATCGATATCACAAGCATGCGCCTGTCCTTTTATGTCTGTCCCACTCAAAACCACCTCTCATGTACCCTCTTACAACACTAGCGAGGCTCGGCATATTCAATGCATATCGACAGTATCTAGAAAGCCAGTAATTGGATGCCGTAATATCTTTTATCTGAGTGGAGAACAATAAAATAATGCCTCTGTCCTATCATTTTTTCTCAGATTTAATGAGCAGCAGAAAATAAGGGTTGAAACTCGGCGAATCTACTCAAATACCACCCCACCATCCCCTCCACTGCCCACCGGTGAAAAAGAAGTATTGAATTCATAAATAATATCTACCAATTGCAGGAGAGAGCTAACGATTTCAAGGATTTTTCGAAAATTCCAATTTCGTTTTTTGAAAGTTAAAATTGGAGAAAAATCAGTCAACTCTTAAGTTAATGATAAATTAATCCATCAGCGCAAAAAAGAGGATTTTAATTTTAAAAGAATGCGGTAATTTTCCAATCGGGGATTTCCCCTTTTTGGAAATTTATTGGAATTTGAAAATCATTGGGTGACGATAAAAAGGCGCAACAGGAACGAAACTATCAACTGAATCAATTAAATTATTCCCTAATTGTTAGTTTAAACCCATCACCACTGGAATAATTCCTGTACTTCCATAAACTCCACTGACTCACCCCAATACCTCCGCTAAAATCATTCAGGACACTTACCTGAAACAAAAAAAAAACCACAGAAATGAGTAAAATTTTCAAAATATTTTTCCAATATATTTTTTACATGAGAATATTATTTATTGGAGGAGATCGAAGAAGAGGTGGAAAAAGGGGTAGAAGGGGGAATAGACAGTCTTAACAATGAAAAATAGATATGAATTTCATTGGATGATTGGAATCAGTGTCTCAAAGCTCGGAAAGAAACCGGTGAGAAACGGGGACTTCCGGTGGGCTCGGTCGAATATCCAAGAGCCCAACCCGTGATCCAATATGGCACGAGGGAATAAAATCCGTCTCGAGGGATCTCCACCATCCGGCAGTCCCACACACACGTATCCCTTCAGATTATATAGCCCCAAGATCCTTTCCGATATCAAGATTGGCTTCCACTGCCCCAACATCATCTACCAAAGCCAATTGAATGAAATAAAAACAAAAAGTCGTACTAACATTTTTTTTTTCAATTCTCAAACTTAAAATTCCAATGGAAATTCCTTAAGAAAAATAATAATCACTCATTAACTCATTAAATCAATCTATTCAATGATTTTATTTAAAATAATGTGGTAATAAAATTTCCTCATCAATTCTCAAAATGAAGATTTCATGAATTTCAAATCGAATGTAAAAAAATAATAATTAAATCCATTTATTTATTGACTGATCCATCCAGTGGTAAAATGTGATTGCATGGAAAAAGGTGGTAATGCCATTTTGCCATCAATTTTCGATATTAAAATTTCTATGAATTCCCGAAAAAAAAAATGTTAAAACGTTCTCTCCCAAAATAAATTTTTTACTGTCTCCCGGACGGCGAGAGCTCGTGACCTCCACCGGCGGCGAAAAAAAAATATTTCAGTATCGTTCTGTTTTTATTTTCCACTCGAGTGCAAAAAAAAAAAATACAGTGGCTCTCGGTACGAAAACAGTGGGCTCTTTGTGCCGGTATTTAAACGTTAAAATTCCCACACGAGTTATGAGTTCAAAGTACTGATACCCTCTCCGATGACCCCATCATCATTATCTCCCCCAACATTTGTGCTCAATAATAACGAAAAGAATCGGTTGATTCAGTTTAATTCGAGTACTAAAAACTACTACGTCTGGGTTGAACAGAAAAAAAATCGAGGTCGGAGAAGATTCAAATAGATCTACCAACGGACTCTACCGAAAGATAAATCTGTCACGAAAGAAATCTAATTAATAAATAAATTAACTTAATCTACATGGGCATCTACCAGTACGATCTCTACCGAATCTACCGATTATCAACTCTGCCAATCATGGCAATTTAAGTCAGTAAAAACTGGCTGAGTTGACCGCAGATAGAGATAGAATTTCTGGTAGATGCGATTTACCTGATTTCATCGATTTTACTGATTCTGTTATTTTCTGCGGCAAAGAATTGATACAATCAATAATTGTCAATCAATGCTATCACTACCGGTAGATTATATACAACTACGCCTAACTCTAGAGGACGATAACCTCATATTGACTGAATTATTTAGGGTACCACGAAGAGTCAATAGACTTTCGCCTCCCATTTATGTTGGTATATTCGCCATTTGATGGAGTCGAATCTCCATAGATTTTTCACGATTCCCAGGATGACAGACAGATTGATTCAACAAAATTGGCCATGACTCGAGGGATTTCTGTGAAATTTCCAAACCGAGAAAAATACAAGCCGATAAACCAGAACACCTGATAAGACGACTGAAAATGAAACACGAGACGAAAGAGAAACGAGAGTGAGATTGCGCGAATTTCTATGGCCGACCGAAGGTCAGGGTCGTGACCCAGTCGGTAATACAGTAGAAAAAGAAAATACTTCTCCCCTTCCATAATTTATCCTCAATTATCTCCCACCCTCCATGACTCAAAAAATTGTGGTAAAAAAAAAAACAATGAAAAATTTGACAATCAGCTGAGGAGATGATAACTGCAGAGAAAAAATAGAAAATATGCTTGAGGAGAATAAAATTTTGAAGAGCTTTGAAAACACCGCGTCATGATGGCGTCGGGTGCGCGAGGCCATTTGGTCCGGGGTGTGCTCCCGGATGACTTAAAGAGAAGCTGCGACTCCATCGGATCGATACTCTCACCCGGAGGCTGCTGGGCGCTCCAGCATGCCTTTTGCGTACCGAAAGTATACAAACGTTTTCCGTACAGAGGAGGGAGGCGGGATAGGTTACATACGTGAGGAAATACTGCGCCAGTAAATGATACTGAGAGGAGTGGGGGAGCTCCGTAAAATCAGCTACCCCCTCCCTCCCGCCTACCTCACACTGCACCACCAAAAATACATCGTAAAACTTGCGGAACTCCGATTCCATCAAACGTTCGACGGTTTTTCTTTTCCTTTTTTTTTTTGCCAACTTTTTTGTTGGCTTCCACGGATACATTCGAAACAATTTTTGAGGAGAAATGTTTTCAACTCTTTTTATCAACTTTGTAAATAAATTTTTGAGTTGAGAAGTTTTCAATAAAATTGTGAAGAAAATTTTGCTGAATTGAGGGGCGGAGAGGTGACAGAAAATTCAATGGTAATGCATTATAATGTGGCAGATTGTCAGCTGAAGGGAGAAATTAAGAGAAATTCAGAGAAATTATCAAATGAAAATAATTGGTAGAGTTATTTACTGGTAAACCGTGTCCACTGATAGATAGAAAATAAAATCCATACATCATCGAGATGAGCCACGAACCAGAATAAATACTTTGAAACACGGGTTGAGGGATCAAACCGAAAACAAATAATTCGAGTTCATTCCCCTTAATCCAAACAACAAATGATTTCATGTGGCGAAAGTACAAAGGAACTTTACAGACACGTGGGAACGTGCATTCGTAGTTGTCACGACGAAGAAGAAAGGGGTTTCTTTTTTTTTCCTCCAGAAGAAAAGAAATGAGAAGCAAAAAAAAAAAATAAAGAAAAAAGAACAGAGGGAAGAAAGAATGGAATAAAAGCAGCGGGGCGACGTCTACTCGTGAATCACTGGGATGACGAAGGGTTCACGCTCGATGAGGGCGATGTAACGGTACCCCTAGTGTACGATTCACATACACAATCATCACCGAGTATATGAGAAGAGAACGCGTTTTTCCGGAAATAAGTGCGAGAGAATTTGTGGTGGTGGTGAGGGGTGAGGGGTGAGGGGACTTCCAGAGAGAGGGGAAGAAAATGAAATACAACCGTCTGTATTTTCATGCTACCCTTGGATCATGAAATATGTTTCTTTTCGAGGATTTTGACACTGACAAAAACCCGGGCTTTCATCTCCATTAAATCATTCAAGAAGTCCATTGGTAAAAAAAAAACTGAATTGAAAAATTGTCCGCCGGTTTTTTTCCGTCGTAGTGACGTTTCTCGTTATCCATACGAGATTGGGAGACATTTTTCCGAGTATAATTAGGGGAAATGTTGCAGGAGAAATGAAAATCACTATGGCAATGCGAAATTTCGCTGGAAAGACGCCAAGTGTCTCGACGAGCGCAAGTAAAAGACCTGACGGGAGGGGTCTGGCGTGTTCCATCTGCGTCTGGGGAAACGTACAATTACTTAACCGATATAAAATTATCATAAACTCTCATGCCGTAATTTTCCCGTGAAAATCCGCGAGTCACTCGACGGCAACTCAGAAAATTATGATTAAATGAGAAAAAAAATAGGTCCTGGGGGGGTAACCATGAAAAAAAAAAAATTACTTTCACCCATTAAATTTGCCAGCTGTGAAAAAATCTGCACATTTCGAATGCAAATATCTACGTAGATTCACTCGTACCAGATAAATTCATTGAGGATAATTAATTAATCTATTCTCTAATGGAAAAAATTTATCTGATTGCGAGAGTTAATTAGTTAATCAACGAAACAGCTTTGATAATTTTTAGAAGACCGAGATGAATTTGGCGTGTAATGTAATCATCAATGATGTCGTGTTTGTGGAATTCTGGATTCGATGACAGATAGGTGAACCGTGTACTAGTCTTCACAATATTGCGAAAATTAGATGAAACACGCTGGACGAAAAGAGGAAGGGCCAACGGTAATTGCGTGGTTGGATCGTTTCACAGCTGTGGCAAAAGGACGGTGGGGAACGAGGGGAGGGAGGGA